TGAAACAACCCCAGTCCAGGGTGTGGTGAAGTCACATGATGAACGCTGACCTCTCCAAGATCTGTGAGGAAGATGACACCATTTCACCGGGCAAAAGTGTGTATTATTTCAGGGCGTGTTTGTGGTGCTTCCCCTTGGGAGCTGTTCAAGGTGAAGTCTGGGCATTTGGGATCAAAGGTCAGGGAGAACTTCATTTCAAGGAGGCAAAAGTTGAGAACAGAAGCTTACAGTGCACTTGAAAATGTCTAGCAATGTTCACAATGCAAAACTTACACTAACAGTATGCACTACGCAACTATGCACACAATTCATGGTCCTAGATTATCACAGAGCAAATTTTATGCCAATCAAGTTAATTTTGAGAACATCGCCAGGTGACCGAATCAGATTTGGATGAAACTTGTCAGAACAATCTCTCGGTTCACCTTATAAACACAAAGCAATCTTCTGCTGTCAGTTTTTTTTTCATACATTTACATGTAAATGAACGTACATGTACATGTATGTTAAATGCCGGTAATGTACAGTGTACATATGTAAAGGTAGGATAACATTAACCCTCATCACCAAGTTGCAGGAGTGCAAAAATTCAGTCCAGCCATCCCTTGCATTACACAAAGCTTAGTACAAAAGGTTTTATCAAATATCAAACATGATCAAAAGTTTGCAAGATTTCATCCCCTGGATGTTATGTACAGCAATGAGGGATTTCAGTGGATTTGGGCTACTGTATGTGTAAGGGTTACTTTGTTCAAAGGTAACAACTGTTTCAAAAATCCCTTGGACATGTGAGCATAATATCAAGCTCTATTATAGGAGGACTGGGAAGAGGTAGATTGGTTTGGTAGATTTATTGTTTGATTCCCAAAAGAAATGACACTGGTAGCAGGTAGCTAAACACATGTACAGTACATGTATGTTGTGGTGATTAGAAAATAAAAAAAATCATCACTTTTTTCTTGTGAAAACCTTTAACCCTAACCTTCCCCAACCACACAGAATTAAACAGTAGTAAAGTGTTTAATTCTGTGGGGATAGGTCTGGTAAGCCCATAACAGCTGGCTTTTGCATTGGGTTTGGCATACCTCAGAAAAACAAAGTCCAACAGCCTCCATGCACAAAGTCCCATATGGGTGTTTAACTTTGCGTGAATGGGGAAGGTTAGGGCCAGGGTTAGGGTTAAAAGGTAACTTCAATCAATTTGTTTTTAAAATGCAAACCTTCAAAATCCTCAGTTAACCTTATACTTTCAAGTTTTGTTTCACTATTTCGAAGAGCCTTTTTGGTTTTATGCTGATGAGATTTCCATATTCATGAGCAACACTGTGATGTCATCCCAGGAAGAAAGCCTCAGTGTTACATTATTTGTACACAGGCTTTGTACACAAAAAAGTCCTGCATTTATATAGATTTTGCTGGACAGAATTTTCATTTCTTAGCTGATTCACTGCTGTTTATGTGTATAGCAATATGCAAGCATTAATCCCTTTCTCAGAAAAGTTGCAGAGAAATTGTGTCTGAGAAAATTCATGGCAGCAACAAAAGTTTTACTTCCCCGTTTGGAAACAATGATGGTATTTATAGCTACATACATGTACAGTATACATTAAGTAAGTTGTTCTTATTCACTTGGCTGTAAGCTTTTGTTACGAGTGACAATCATCTACATGTAGTTTAAAAGTTCACTCACTACGTCGGGTGAGCTCATGGGCAAGTCAACATATACGTGTACCTGTACCTAGTGTACATGTAGCCTGTATGCGTGACAGCCAAGTGACTAATAAGAACTTCTGCTTATGCACGTACATACAAGTACATGTACATGATGACACATGATACACAATTCTTTGAAGCCTGACCAAAAGGCTACTCGTATGTACACATGTACACATACATGTGTACCGTATGTACTGTACATACCGATACATGTGGATGAATCCGAGTTGTTTCACTGGCTATTCTCGATGACCCCCCTTTTAATGGTGTAAAGCACTGTGTGAGGTTTCGAAAGGAGTAGATGGAACCGTGCAATAGTCATCGCATTAAACATGTTGCTATGTACGTGTACAATGTACATGTACAGTACTTGTTGTGAAGTGTTTATACTGTACTGGTACATGTACACGTAGCTGTCAGATACATGTATAGAAGTTTTAACACTTTGTGGATATTCCTCTGAATACAATGTAGGTGACCGGTCATGCACGAGGTTAAAATACCCTGGTGAAAAATAAAATTTAAAGACTACATGTATGAATGAAAAACACAGAGCCCTCGTGGAGCTCAACAAAAAACGAAGGCAGAATTTGACTGCCAGAAAGTTTAGCGATGCTATCGTTGGTACTGGTCCCAGCGTGCACAATGGTAAGTGTAGATTGCAGGCACCATCTAAAACTGATGTAACATTTGACAAGAAAGTTTACAGCATGTTTGATTTCTTCTTCGTGCTTACCTGTGATGGTGTTATTTGTTTAGACGAGCATGCGTAATATGTGGTAATAAGCGAACAAAGGCATAAATTCGAGTTGTCGAAAGCAGCAGACATATTCACACACACTTAACTTACATGGTATACCTTCTTTCACATTGACACAATAGATTTAGAAAAAATGATTTCAACATGTATGTAAGCTATACAGTTTGACAAACTAGGCATGGTTTCTGTGACTTCAAATGTCCTGTCATTTCCTTCTTTCAATGAGAATTCCTCTCTCTCTTCAATGTTGACACTGTTTTTGCATTCACTACTACCTGCAGGAAGGCATTCCATGCATGAATGACTCTTTAGGAGACAAAATTCTGCAAATAATACCCTGCACATAATCTGAGAGGTCAGTAGTGAGCATCCTGGCGAAATGTCAGCTCATAAAACCTAGCGGCAGTCAAATGACATTGGAAAGACAGAAGTCGCCTGCATTTCCAACATCCCAAGTCAGGGCCCAGCATGGACAGACAGCCCTGTTTACAGGCCTAGGCTTAGGCCGTGTCCGAAACGGGCTTCCAGAGCTACGGCTAGGTCTATTGTCTGCGCATCTCCACGCATTTCCAATGGAGCGAAGACCTAGACCTAGCTCTAGACAAGAGATTCGGATGCAGCCTAAGTCATAGTTATCTCACACAGTCATGATGACGGTACCCCGAGTCTTTTTGTTCATGTGCAGAAAGGTGCCCTTTGACCTACATTATACCATGTGTACTGCTACTTGATTGCTTCCTCTCATTTTTCAATATCATCAGGCCTTGCGCTAACTTTTTTCCCTGTATAGCCCACTGGACTAGTTAACTGGATATTTTACTAGCCCGTTTAGAGGTTTACTAGCCCTTATATAAAAAATAAAAAAAACAAAATTTGTTTTCAGCTCACCAATAAAGAATTTGACATTTCGGAAAATAAAAGGCTGATGGTATAAACAAACGGGCATGAATGTTAGTTAAACATCGTCTGAGTCACTGGTAACGGAGTTGGGAACAAAATCACCTCTTTGCTTCATCTTTCCCCTCATTTGGGTTGCTTACATTAGGCAAAAATTGTCACTTTTTGCCTACTTTCTGATATTTATATTAAAAGATTGATTTATATTGAATACATGTATTTATTTTGCTCCAAGTTTTAACAGGTAGGCTTATTTTGAATTTTTCACTAGCCCAGCGGACAACCAAGGAACCAAGTTTAGTTAGCCCGGAGCATTTTTAGCTAGAATTTGTACGCTGGGCTAGTACTATTTCGAGGCCTGAATATGTACATGTACAAGATGTAATGGTAGAATAGAAGGGTGACTACGATTTTGCACATATAAGTCTCAGCCTAGTTGGGGTACCACGCGAGATGTTTCTAAATTCTAAACAAAATGGCAAACATTTACGTTTAAACGTTAAAAAAACAAAAAAGTTCTAAATCCATTTACAGATTTTCCCAATCTTTAAATGAAACTGCCCCTTCTAGAAATTTGACTTTTTGACTGATGCAATCTTGTGTTCATCTTTAATTTAAACAATGCCTGTAAACTATAATCTAATTTTTGGCACACTTTACTGCTTGGTCATATCGAAGGAATACCATGGATTCATCACTGGAACTTTGTGTCAACTATTTACATTCATACTCGAGCAAGGACATAGATTGTATACAGTTTTTGTGTTTATATGTCAAGTTTTCAATGACACAGTGGTAAGGGTTGGACGTTTACACGTTTAAGCTGTATTCTCGCGGTCAGACATCAAGGAACTTACATTTAAGTCATGTAAGTTCTGGGCGAAGGGTAAATTTGCCCCTTTACCGTGTGTCATGAGTGTTAAATGTTCATAGTGACGTTGTGCCGACCGTGAGACCATTTTTAAGAGGTAGTATAGGTACCTCACAGTTGTTTTCAATCTGAGTAGTGAGTGATGGAAAAGCGACTTTGTATTAATATCAGGTACATGTACCGATGATGTAGGCCTACCGGGTCTTCACCGCAAAAACTCAAACTGGATTCAAAAACTCATTGTTAGGCCCTACGACCCCATGAAAATAATACCTCAAGTCACACAGACATAACGGAGCAGTGACATCGTCAAGGTTATACTTAACATCCATTGTTAATTTGGGAGGTAATAAGTTAAACTGATGTTTCTCGTTACGCAGCCATAGGGGTCGCTCGCGCTCAACGGCCCGGGCGTACGGCAAGTGCGAACATGCCATGGCTTTTGCCTTATCACGCTTTGGCGCGGCCAAGCACTAAATTTGACACAACCCATTCTACACACATAAATGTTGCAAAGCGCAATGACAATATTAACTGTTGGTTGAACGTTTTAATTTCCAAGTTAGTTAATCGAAAAAGGAGCATTTTACCTTCATTTATTGCGGCTTTCCACTTGATTTGGCTGTCATTTTTGGATGAGATAAATTTTGTCCGGTACACTGTCTGCTTTGTGTTATGCGAATGGAAGAAAAGTTGCAGTATTTAGGTATCCATCTAATTCTGCAACATGAGATTCTGGCCGCGTGGTGGCGCTCATCTTATTTAATGTCGGCAACTTGAACTTAGGAGGACTATTTTACTTGAATAACTGGTTGATAAATCATGGCAACTGTTATCCCTAAAGTGGAGCAACTTTCATCCCGGATCGTCCGGGTTTTAGGATGCAACCCGGGGCCCATGACACTTCAAGGCACCAACACCTACATTGTGGGAACTGGTCAAAGGTGAATGTCAGATTTCCAGGGTCTCCAGGCTCCAGCACTGCAGCATGCACACGTACACCTGCACACTGTAGGCGGCCCGTGCTAGTATCATGCTAGTGTAGTCAGTAGTACTTTTATAGCTCCATGGGCCTACTATTACTAACTAGTCATGCTAGTGTACGCCTCAAGTTCAACTATACGTTAGTATAGCATTAGCCCAGGTGGACTCCCTGACTGTACTATGTTACGGAGAGACAACGTCCAACCTGGGCCAGTATAACATTAGACCCAACTATAGTTGGGACCATGCCAACTATAACTTAGGCCTAAGCCTTATTGCTCGATACCGCATGGGTGATTGTGAGGAGGAGTCCAAATAGGGAGCAATGTTTTTTCATGGTTATCCTTCCCATGTAAGACCCTCACCACCTGCTACAGTGCTAAAGCTATTCTGTGTCTTGGAAGTTAGATTGTTGTACATTGTGGGTAAGCCCTAATAAGTTACACTGACTGTACAGTTGTATAGTTCCCTGAACAAGGCAAGTGGTATGAATTTACAGGTAGGCCTAGTAGTCTGGTACTAGTACAAAAACTGACTACCCACAAATTGCCTCGTTTAACATTTGGTTGGCCTATTGCCAGACATGCTCGACCATGCCCCAAATGTTAAAATCTAACTTAAAAGAGGCGATTTGTAGGATCCCAGTTACTCAGACTAGGTTATGACTATAGGCCTAGTGTAAGGGAGAGAAGGGGCTTGGAGGAGTTGAATTTGGAGATCGAGAGTGGGCATGGTCAGGATGGTCGGAGGGGTGGGTTTTGGCTGAATAGCTGGATGGCCTGGTTAACAATGAGGCCTTTCATGCTAAGAAACAAATACATGTGTATCTAGCCCTCACAACAAGTTTTTCTCGACGGCTGTTACGTTGTAATAGACTGGACTTATCAACTGCTTCCCTTCCCTCCCTCCCCTCCTGGGCTAACTGTCTCAGGTGCGCATGTATGCTCCTGCAAGGTCCATTTCTGAAGCCTGAGCCATGCGGGGTGGGAGTGCTTGTCACTTTTCGACATATTTTGCCGTTGGTGTGATACACACTCAGGAAGGGTCATCATTTGTCATTTCACCACCCCTCCATCTTGAATGGGGCAGTCACAGTTGAAAAGGGTACGTTAGCTAGTCATCCAGTTGGTTCAGAGGATTTTTTTAAGATCTAGGATGAATGGCACAATAGCATAACTGATTGAGGAGGATGCATTGTGTCAAGGTTGCGGGTTAGACCTGATGATATTTACATGTATATGCGTACATGTACAAAAAAGACTCTGGGATACATTCGCGCTGCCTCAACTTAAATGACAGGAATTGCAGAAGGATTTTAAGGGAATAGATGAGGCAGTGGTCACTTCTGCTAGGAGCAAATTCAAGAAGTGACACGATTTTTGCGGATGGAGGATAGATCCATTTTTGTTGGCAGAGCTGTTGGGGGATTTTGAAGGACTGAAGATGTGCCCTAGAAAAAAGGGCATTGTTGTGAGAGTTAATAGTGGTAAAACAAGGTACTAAATTTGTATAGTAGACTTTGATGTACATTTTTCTGTTTATTGTGATATGAAGTTTGTGCATTGTATTTTCATCATATTTCAAATGCAGACGCTTTTTGATTGACACGGGGGAAAAGGAGAAACCAGAGTATCTGACTAACCTGAAGACGACGCTGTCCAGTCACAGGACCAGTATTCAAGAGATTCTCATCACTCACTGGCACCACGACCACGTCGGTGGGATTTCTGGGGTGTGCGACGAACTCCAGCTGGGTAAATGAATAGACGGCACTGCAGGACTGCTCCTGAGTGCACCGGTCGTGATGGCTCTTGCCACCAGGCAAGGCTCCTGATATCGTCGAGCCGTATCAAATACATGTGGTGTTTTTTCTGGGTCTTTTTTTGTTTCTGGCATGTGACAGTCAGTTTAGAGCCAAATGCAAGAGGCCTACGGTGTGTAGAAATTTATGTGGTTTCCTACAGCATGGGAGCTCGGGGATTTTGGCCCCCGCACCTGTAGGAAAGAACCCATGTACAAAAAAACGTAATCTCAGTACCTGTATTTCTATGGAAACTTTGCTCCTCAGTGTGGGAAGCTCGCTTCTTTATTATCGTTGAAACACAAACGAATGAGAATTTATGGAAGAAAGATTCGAGGTTCCTGCGGCCTGGGAAAGTCCTGGAAAAGTCCTGGAAATTTGTTGTTGTTTTCCAGGTCTGGAAAAGTCATGGCATTTTGTAAAAATTACTTAAGTCATGGAAAAGTCATGGAGTTTTTCAACACTGTGTGTGATTTGTATTATCAGAAATAAGTGCATAAAATGCGTGATTTTTTCACAACTTTAAAAGTCTGAATAGTCCAAGAAATTGCGTTATTGTGTCATGGATTTTCATAATTTGATCATGGAAAAGTCATGGAACACCTAGGGAATTCAATTGTTTTTTAGCTACAGGAACCCTTAAGATTTGAAAACATGCAGGCCTATGCGCTAAAGATAAGTCAATTAATAAAAGGACTCATTACAAGTCAAATCTGAGCCAGTGACTTGAGCTATTGCATTGCCGTCATCCAGTGTATGGGGAAAACATGTCAGGACCTTTAAGACTGTAATTTGCGAGTTTGTTGACTCATAATTTCTGCTTCCTTTAGCATCTGCCATTGATGTGTCGAAGTTACCCCGAAGTCCAACTCAAAACGAGACAATTGATGGCGTAGATAAGAAATACAAGTATTTAGAGGATGGGCAGATCTTACGGACTGACGGAGCCACATTGAGGTATTCTTCAACAAGCCAATCATTGCACTGCATGCACTGTCCACTGAAGGTCGTTTTGGGTTCAAAGAGCACCTTTAAGGAAAACATTGTTTTCTCTGATTTTATCTGTTCAAATAAATAGGGAAGCATCCAAATCGAACGCAGTGTCATTTGCCTTCAGAGCTCAACTCTAACAAGCTAAAAAGGGCTTTTTTTCTGTTCATGCCAAGATGCGAATTCTGAATGTAGGCATTGTTTGGCATGCACAAGGGATTATCCACTACGATCACAGGGCGAGGGTCCCCCCTCGTTTTTCTGTTTTCTCCAAATAACATTCAGAATTTCCATCTTGGCATGAACAGGAAAAAACTCCTTAGCTTGTTATAGACTAGTTGAGCTCTGAAGACAAATGACACTGCGCTCGATCTGGATGCCTCCAGAAACTAAGTGGTGTCACTTTGGCATTTAAAGTGGACTTGAACATGTTCACCTGTAAAGTTTTTTCCCAAGAGTTCACCAATCATTGATTGCCCTCCCCTTATTCACATGAGTAAGTGCCACATAGCATACTTCCTTCAACAGTGAAGGGAATTCAAAGTTTAAAAAAAAATGGACAGTGACCAATGTCTGAATCTACTGCTTCCAGTGGTTGCATGTATCGAACTACATGTACATACATTAATAGAAAGTGGCTGCATCTGCTATGCCTATGGCTTCCATACTCCATAGCCACACGTTATTGTCAGCCGCAGCCACAACTGTCGGACACGGCTTGTTACTCATACCTACATGTACCTGAAAAGAGGGCAAAGATTACTTGCATTGTGGCTGATTGCCTGCCTTTTGGCTGTTGAATTTCCAGGGTGGTGTACACACCAGGGCACACAGATGACCACATGGTGCTGTACCTTGAGGAAGAGAATGCTGTCTTCACAGGCGATTGCATCCTTGGAGAGGGAACAGCTGTAGGTTTTTGACGAACAGTGAATGATCAAGTCACACAGGTGTTGGGCAAATTTTGTAACCCGGTGCTACAGTAGCACTGGCTTGTCTGTGGAATAGATGTGCGCAATGCAACCATTTGTAACATTTATTAAAGTTTAGTGATGAATTATACAGAAAGGGTTTGACTAGGGTCATTCGAGTGTGACTGTTGTGCACACATGCGCATTGTTGATAGTTGATGCCCAAACTCGCTGCCTGAATGACGACAGTGCATAATCTTATAAATTTGCATGTACTTTATACATACATTCACCAAATATTCATAACAGAATGATGGTACCATTTTTTGTCTTTGGCCCAAGGTGTTTGAGGACCTCTTCGCCTACATGAAGTCACTGGAACTGATAGTAGCCTTGAAACCAGACGTTCTTTACCCAGGCCATGGACCGGTCATCCAGGACCCTGTGAAGAAGGTGCAGGCTTACATCGATCACCGAAACATGAGGGAGAGGCAGATCCTGGAGGTGTTGGAGACTAACAAGGACAAGGCCCTGACTTCCATGGAGATGGTGAAGATCATATACACGGTGAGACTTAAGCTAGGGGGAGGGGCCAAGGGCTGAACAGTGGGGGGGTGTGGTCAGGACTTTCTATCTGCACTCCCAACTCCCCTGTCCCATGACAAATCTTTTTGAACTTTGGCTTGCATGCCAAGATATCCATTCTGAATATGTCTGTGAGCTTTCAATTCAATCGGGCATCAGGTTTTGTGTTTGTGGTCATTTATAGTTCATGATCACATGTGGTCAGCCTGAATACTTAGCACAAGTCAATATTTATGGCGGACTGAATACTTAGCACAAGTCAATATTTATGGCGGACTGAAAATGGTTACTCGGTACATGTGACTTTTATGGGTGTCACAATGACTGCATGACATTGATTAGTTGAAAAAAACGTAATGGCTCAGCATGATAAACAAAACTTGCAGTGCAGAGGTCTCCTGACTCGTGAGGTCTTCTGATAACGAACAGAGGAAACTTTTCAAACCTTCAAGTTGAAACAACTTGTTCTTCTCAGAACCACCCAACTTCAAAAATGAGATCAGCCTCTGTGATGTTATTGCAAACCCTCCATACTCTGTTCATGTGCACCGTGCAAACCTACAAGCGGCAGGATGAAACTAAATGAAGTGGTGGCATCATCAACCAAATGCACAAAATGTCACTAAAATTGACAACTTTGAAGAAAAGTCAGTTGCTCGTCAGGAGTGCACTTTCTTCTTGAATCACCTGATTTCCTTTTTTTTTTAATTCTTACATATGTCATTGCAAATTGAAAGACACCATACAAGGTCATGGGTTTAGAATTCTCTGCAGTGTTCATGAATTGCAAGGTTCACCGCTTCGCTTCTGTGCCGTAATTCACAGGAAACCCCAGAAATTTTACATCTGGCTGCAGCCTCAAATGTGGACCACCATCTGAGCAAGCTGGAAAAGGAAGGCAAAGTCGGTAAGTGCTGCTCTCTTAGATTTGGTTGAAAATTGCCCAAGGGAGTCGACCAGTGTCTCATGTATCAACCTGCCTGCCTGCCCCCAAGGACAGACAACACACAATTTGGACAGGCAGTTCTTGCTTGTTCAAAATTTACCAGCCTCCTTTGTTTTTTTCACAACATTCTTCAAGTCTATTGAACATGTTCTCATATTTCCTGCCCAAATACTGGGTACAGTGGAAATGTGGCCATAGATAGCACTGAGGGTCATCAGTTTCAAAAGATTTCCTGGGAGTGGACGCAAGTTTCAATCTTGGTTGAGAAAGGACAGAGAGATATATTTCAATTCAAGATGAAACCCTGGTGCCAATTGTCGTGGGAAGGGTTGTAGGTAGTGAAAATAAGGCAGAGTCATCAATTACTGTCATTGAGCAAGTCAGAGCTAATTGTTGGCGGTAACTTTGGGCACATCACATCAGATTTGGACCTATAATTTTCAGTATCCCACACAAAAAACTACAAGTTTTCAAACTTGTCTGTATGTTTTATGCACAGGGAGACATGGAAAAAATGGCGAACATCGATGGAGCAGTAAGCTATAGAATCTCCGGATGGAAAATGTGTTACAGTTCAACAAAAAATCATAATGCATGGTGCTGTTCATAGGAATGCTTGTGTCCAGAGGCAGGACAGTTTATCTCGAGCATTGTGTTACCTGTGATCAAGTTATCCCGCCAGGCATGCCAAAGTGTTACTCAGTGGTGCTGACTGGAAAAAGGAATATTTCCCCATGGTGAAAAATTGCTTACCTGGAACTTACTTGTCAGACAGCAAAGAAAAAGTTTCAAAGGTTTTGGGGAAACTAAAGGAAAAGCTAATTCATTTTGGTAATTGTTTATGGTTTTTTACCTAAAAATACTTGACACATCAAATGAAAAATAAATTCTCCTATCTTTAGCATTCTTTTTGGTTTAATGTACCACATTTTGGCCTCCACGAATTGCCCGACAAATTGATTGCATGTACCTCTCTGAGCTTGGAAGTTACGGACCCCTAAAAATCCTAAATATGTATTCCATTCAATTGATATTGTCAGATTTTGGGAGTTCATAAGATGAAAAAATCTGAGAGGCATAACCAGTGGTTTCCTGAAAACATTTAAGAACTCTACCATGCATCTTGGTGGTTTCCAGGTAATTGTTTTTAAGGCATTTGATCCCTGCTTTACTCAACACGCAGGTCTCACAAAGAGGGGACAGAAAGAGGAAAGGCGTAGAAGTCTGAAAACTTGCTTATTAATTGGTAACATATGCTGTAAATCCGAACGTTTTCATAGCTTGTATCAAAACAGATTTTACAGAACGTGGAATGAAATTCTCTGTCAGCGACCGAGTTGGAAATTACTACAGCACAGTAGGTGGTCTTTTTTTAATGATGAAAATACATTTCTGCCAAACACGCCGAATGTTAAGAACAATAACAGATTTTTGCATACAATATGTTAAACAAAACTATGTACAAATCCACAAAGTGAAATAAATATTTACTATTTATAAAAAAATTATAAGAAAATGGTAAATAAAAATGTGAAGAACTAAGAAATCTTATTTGGTCAGTTGTTATCAGTTATTAATGAGACACACTCAGAGATATTGAAAAACAGGACTGAGTATGCTTCATATTTAACAGCTCAGTAATTGGGAAAATAGGCTTCAAACTTTAAATGCATCTTGACGAAATTGCCTTACATGTACTGCAACCGACCATCTTCACACAAGGAAGAACTACATGTACATGTATGAACATGTATGATGCTAACTGTGTCTCTTGTGTTACTGGCAAGCTGTTTATTGCTTTAAACTAGGCACATTTCTGGGCGTAATATAAGACAACCTGAGCAGTGACGTATCCACACCACAGCTCATTATGCAGGTACAGTAAGTAAACTATGAAATTAATTTCATACACTTCTACAGCAAGTACAGTCTCAAATATTTTTCTGTCACTCAGAAATTGAAAACGTTAGTTTGACCTGCACTGGACGGATTAGTCAAGAATAACTACTGAAATACATTTTATGTCATTTTCTTTGGTCAATACAAAAGTATTCAAATAATGGGAAAATATCTCTGGACGGAGATTGGTTTTAACTATTTGTTTGGCTTGTAATATTATAAGGATGGCCCTGAACTTTGACTTCAGGAGCCCCAAATACCGACTTCTTCAATTGGCCCTGCAAAACTACTGCTGCTTTGTAGGAACTTTCAGTCTGTTACATGTAATTTACTGCTAACGTGACGGTAAAAACTAACAAGGACATCAATTTTTGTCTGTGCGCTCTGGCTGGATTACATTGTGTGATTCCTCCACTCAGTTGTAGTACTGATACAAAAAAAAGTCGGATAAGAACAAGGCTTTACACCTGCCATTAGGCTCCCGGTGAAATGAAAGGTATTTACAAAGGTTTTTCACTTCATAAAGAGAAAAATGTATTTTTCATCAAACCAGTGGGTTATTAAAATGCAACAAAATATCAAACACAGTTTTTACCAAACCAAATCCAGCCAAGCTCTGAAGCTTCAGGAACAAACTGACCACCAGATGAAAAATACTTTGTGTGAGTCCATCAAAAGTCAATCAAATGATATGTGAGACATTTTTATACAATAGTCATGATACGATTCTGTCCACTACCAGTGCTTCATTCAAAATCATACAACACCTGAACACATCCTTGCCATCTGACTGGTGGGTTATTGGTCGTGTCAGTAACTTGTATGGTGTAACCGTTAGGCATGTATGCCCTTATATATACCCCTCTGAATTAGGCTCATGCACAAAGACATAGCCATAGCTCTCCACACGTACACACGGAGAAGACGGAGCCTTTCACCTGAACAGACAAAACTTCAATCATGGCTTAGAATGCGAAAAACCTTTTGTTTTGTGCTTTTACACTGCACTGTGAAAGTAAAACGGTGACTTTCGGATTTATTCAGGCATTGTATGAAACAAACTAATGAATATTTCAGATTCATGGGATGGAAAGAGTAATTTGATTTGATGACAGATTGAATGTTCTATTCCAGTTGGCTCCAGCGTATTGATCAATATGACCCATCATGAAATGATGCATACCACTGCATAAACATTCATGGTGTGTATATCATTTTGCCAGAACACTGAAGTTGACACGAAAAGGTATGCCTTGACTGATAGTTTTGCACACTAAACAGGTGCACTGTAGGAAAATCAATGTTCTTAGTCATTGCATACTCTCAGCTCAGCTGCATTTGCAAAAGTTTGTAATCAGCCCCAAATCTCTTGCCATTTTTGCAAGGAATATATACATGTACCATCCTGAATCCAACAAAGCCTTGTGGGAACAAATCCCACATTCTCTATACTTCCAGCTTTCATGGGGCATTCTAGCTTTTTGTAGGGTAATGATGGCTTGGCTCTGAATTCCTTAATCCCTTGAAGTCTTCCACAACCTTTCAGTAGATTTTGATGGATCTGGAGACGGTGGGCTTTTCCACAGCTTTTTTATGTGGTTTCATCAACTCACTCAGTAACGTCTTGGATATTTCATTATCTGTTTTTCAGGAGCTCTGTCCTGGCACTAACAAGAATCTTGAAAGCTTCTTCGCTTCCTGGCGCTATGCTCTTGTCAGGGTGGAGAATGACGGCCATCTTGCGATAGGCTTTATTCACATCATCTCTAAAACAGGGGAGAGAAGAACCAGGAAACAGTATCAACTGTGTTCTTTGTACAAACTTTTCTAGAATTTTCTTAGCTACTTTGGAAATTATGAAGTAATTTTAGAAATACCAATACTTAATGTCACTTTCTCTTTTTGTACAAATTGTAGGTTTGGATCACAAGCTCCACAAATAAATTTTTTGAGAACAATTCAAAAGAGAAATATGCCTTTGTGGTTTGCCAAAATTCCCAGATTTAATCAGGTTTGGTTTGCCAAGGTCAATCAACATTAGTAAGTCTTCCGTGCATTATTCTACACAAGGTTTAAGTACATAACTGAATTGGAGTTGACGACTCCTACCAAGGTTTGACAAGTGACCAGGCAAAAAAAGCTGCATGCTACATGTGGGCGGCACTGCAACTACTTACTTGGATGCTCCCGGTCTGAGACCCAGCCTCTCATAGTCATTCTTGCTGTTCTTCAGTCTCTGTATGGCCTCCACCTGTTCCTTGGTGTAACCTAGGGTGGTTGTTATTCTGACAGCTCGGCCGCCATTTTCATATGCAGTCACCAGACCGCTGAACAACTCCTGGCAAAAATGACATCCAATCTTAGTGAAGTTTTCTTCACTATAAGAACTCACTGTTGCATATGCAATATAAATTGAAACAAGGCATGTATGGGCTAGTGGTTGGGGTCTTCACTCCTGATGATTAGGTAAGGGATCGAATCCACTAGCTGATTACATACTGTGACCTTGAGCAAGTCACTTCACCCCCACTTCCCTTTCTCTACCAAGTAGTATAAATGCACATCTCTTAAGGTAGAAGCCAGACGTGCACTGATACCGGCTGCCAACAAATGGTCTCACTGGCCGAAGAAAAGCTGTCCCAATTACACAGATATAGCAGTCCCTTGAACAGCAGAACCACTAACTGAATATGTCACGTAAGTCACATCATTATCATGACGTGAACTACATACATGTAATCAAAGTTGCCACACTAGATACACTCAGGACAAAGAAAAACAACAATAACTGAGCTGAATTAATATACAGGTAATTGATTTGATCAGCTGAGCCAAAATATTAACTGATCTCATCAGCTGAACAAAAAAATTGACTT